TTTTTAGGATTAGTACCTTTAGCATTTATAATTGCTTTCTCTGGTTTAGAATTAGGTATTGCATTTATACAAGCTCAAGTGTTTGTAGTTTTAACTAGCGGTTATATAAAAGACGGATTAGACTTACATTAATGAACAAGTTAATTATTCACATAGTTTAGTAGTTTTCTACTATGTTTTGTGAATAAATTATACGAGTCTCCGGCAACAGAAGGTTATAACCTTCTAGCCTTAGCCTATACGGGCTAAAAAAGTCGAATTAATATAAAAAGGGTATTATCTTAATGGTAAAGAAGAGCATTACGGCCGCTAAGATATAGGTTCAAATCCTATATACCCTTCCATTGCTTAATCTAGGTAAAATCTTAGTATTATGCATATATTTAGTGATAAAGAATGAAAGTCCTCCTGGTTATTAGTTAGTATATAGATAATTACCAATTATCAATATAAAAAAGATGGTCATTTGTAGAGAAAATATTCAAAATTTAACATTATATCTAGTTTTATTGTTACTAATTCTATTTAAAATAGGGGTAAACAAGTGGTTTTAATTCATAAAAAAATAGATTCAAATTGGTGGAATTTACAAAGAAAGAATAAAAAACTATAGCACCAATAGGTTAATTTTAATAAAAGTGGTCTTTATGATCTTAATTTGGACGAACGATTAAGCCGATTTTAATAATTTTTTTGGTATGATATTAGATGTTGATGTACTTGATATCATATTTAATATGATGTAGGTTTAAACTTAAATTTGCTAATAATAATATTTTGAAAGTGCATCCCAAGACAGTCCTGCTATATAAGTGTGATATTTCAAATTTATTACCTTTATATACTAGGTCATGGATGGTAAGTACTAAATATATTCCTAACCCTGTAAGGAAATTTGTACTTTACATCTATCATAAAAGGAGCGTGATCTTATCCTAAAAAAACAAAAAGTTTGGATTTATTAGTGATGTATTTGACATCAACATAATTATATAGATGAGTTTGGTGATGGCTCTGAATGAATGCTGTCCAAATGCTTGACACATGCTAATCGTACGATTAATTTAATGAATAATTTAATTAATAAGTGGTGTACAGGTGAGTATATGATATTTTCACTACCTTAAAGTGAGGGATAAAATCCCACATAGTAATAAAGGCTATAACCCCATTTTATGGGAAAGCCGCTTTAGGATGAAGATTAATATCGTCGAGAGAGGTAGTAGTAAAGGTGATGTCTTCACTAGCCTTAAAATCTCGTAACCGTAACTGAAAGGTTGATCGGTCACATTGGGTCTGAAAAAAGCCCAATGCAAAATTAGTACAGCAGTGGGGAATTTTGGTCAATGGCCTAACGGCTGAACTGGCAATTTGGGTAAACGAAATAGAATTGTATCTACAAAAATAAAGTTTTAAGTACGTATTAATAATGATAATATGTATACTAGTCTTGACCAATTACGTGCCAGCAGTCGCGGTAATACGTAAGAGACGAGCATTATTCATATTAAATAGGTTTAAAGGGTACCCAGACGGTCAAAATACCTTAATTAAAAGGAGTACTTGACTAGAGTTATATGTGAGAAGACCGTACTTGAGGTGGAGAGATTATATTCTGTGATACCAAAAGGACTGATAAAGGCGAAGGCTGTCTTTTATGTAATAACTGACGTTGGAGGACGAAGGCATAGAGAACGAACAGGATTTGACACCCTAGTAGTCTTTGCAGACAATGATGAATGCCATGGACTAGACAAAGCATTATGCGGTAAGTTTAGTCTATAAATGAAAATGAAAGCATTTCACCTCAAGAGTAATGTGGCAACGCAGGAACTGAAATCACTAGACCGTTTCTGACACCAGTAGTGAAGTATGTTATTTAATTCGATGATCCACGAAAAACCTTACCACAACTTGAATATCTAGTAAATAGATACAGGAGTTGCACGGCTGTTTTCAGTTAATGTTGTGAAACTGTGGTTTTTCCATGAAATTAACGGAATCCTTTGCTTTATTTCTAGAATGTTTTATAAAGCAATCTTTCTTTATAGCGGAAAAGATAAGAAGGAAAAAGACAAGTCATCATGGCCCTTATGTTGTGGGCTATAGACGTGCCACGTAGTCCTTAACAAAGAGATGCGAAAATGCGAATTTTAGCTAATCTCAAAAAAGAGGATATAAATTATACAAGGATTGTAGTCTGAAACTCGACTATATGAATAAGTAATTACTAGTAATCGTGAATCACCATGTCACGGTGAATTTAATCTCGGATTGGTACTAACCACTCGTCGCATGCTGAAAGGAGTTTACGCAATAAGTTTGCTATTCTGTTATAATCTCTTTTATAAATTGGATTAAAATATTATAATGGAATTCTTCGTATGCGTTACTCTGATTAGTGTTAAGTCGAAATATGGTTCGTGTAGTGGAAGTTGCACGGGGTTTATAAACTTAAAAAATATGATTGTATATATCCGCTCGAAAGAGTTCTGGCTATATGCAAAATAATGTATTATATATATCCATTCAAGAGGCGGCGCAAGCTCCCTCTGGATATATGTAATATATTGTAAGGAGAGTTCCTTTATTGGCAAGAAGGGTTGAGCTGTAAACTCAATAGCAATTTTCTGCTTTAAGAGTTCGAATCTCTTGTCTCCTAAGTTCGCTTTTATAGCTCAATGGTAGAGCATAATACTGTTAATATTATGATAGAGGTTCGATTCCTCTTAAGGGCTCGATTATAAAATAATTCGTATGGCAATTATCCATGCCTAGCTGTTCAGTAATTAAAAAAAAATAGTATGACAAATTTAACAAGAAGTAATTTTCAAGATCATCCTTTTCATTTAGTTTCTCCATCTCCTTGACCGCTTTATACTAGTCTGAGTTTATTATCTTTAACTTTAAATTCAGCACTAGCAATGCATAATTTTGCTAACGCTTATGTATTTACTTACATAGGTTTATTTTTAGTTGTAAGTTCTATGACTTTATGATTTAGAGATATAATAGCTGAAGGTACATTCTTAGGTAATCACACTTTAGCTGTACAAAAAGGACTTAATTTAGGTGTAATACTTTTTATAGTATCTGAATTAATGTTCTTTGTTGCTATATTCTGAGCATTCTTCCATAGCGCTTTAACACCTACAGTTGAATTAGGAGCACAATGACCACCTATGGGTATAGATCCTATAAATCCTTTTGAATTACCATTACTTAATACAATTATATTATTATCTAGTGGAGCTACAGTTACTTACAGTCACCACGCTTTAATTCAAGGAGACAGAGCTGGAGCTATATACGGTGCAATCGCTACAGTAGTATTAGCTATAGTGTTTACAGCTTTCCAAGGTGTAGAATATTCAGTATCATCTTTCACAATTAGTGACGGTGCATTTGGTTCATGTTTCTACTTTGGTACAGGATTTCACGGATTCCACGTTATAATTGGTACAATATTTATAGGAGTAGGTTATGAAGAATATACGCTTACCACTTAACTGATAACCATCACTTAGGATTTGAAGGAGGTATTCTTTACTGACATTTCGTTGACGTTGTTTGATTATTCTTATATGTATCTATATATTACTGAGGTTCATAATAAATTATATAAAACAGTGCAAGCGGCGGCTTCGACATACGTAGCCTAAAATATATTATTAGTATTCAAAAAAAAGGGATTTTAGTATAATGGTGAATACATATGACTTTTAATCATTATGATATTGGTTCGAATCCAATAGATCCTACTTGTTTACTAATATATATATTTATCCTAATTCTATCTAAATTATTAATAAGCTATTTTGTACTAACGGAATATACTGGAAATATTAGTGATATATATATAATAGCAGTATATTTAATATAAGTAAAATAAAACGGTTATCATTTAATGGTAGGATTGCTGTCTTCCAAACAGAGTGTGTTGGTTCGATTCCAACTAACCGTAAATATCTGATCTAATAGCTTAATTGGTAAAGACTTTTCCTGTCACGAAAAGGGATGTCGGTTCGAGGCCGACTTAGTTCGATTATTAAAGTATGATATTAACAAGATTTGTAGGAAAGGTCGCCATAGGTAGGGCAAGATATTTGCTAAATATTATGTGAAAACATTTGGGCGTTCGAGTCGTCTTCTTTCCGTAACAGACTTAAACTTAGTTTTCAAGATTTATTCTTGTTATAACACTTTCCCTAATAAAGGGTAAAATTATTCTGTACAATATGACTAACTTATTTATCATAGATGAAATATATACTAGTGGGTTTAAAACAGGAGCTTTAGATATTGTTTCTATATTTGCAATATTATGTGCCATTTTAACAATTGTAAGTAAAAATCCTATAGTATCTGTTCTATTTTTAATAGGATTATTTGGAAGTGTATCTTCTTACTTAATATTATTAGGGTTAAATTTTATAGGTTTATCTTACTTAATTGTTTATATCTGGGGCGGTATCTATATTATTTCTGTTTATTTTAATGTTAATTAATATTAGAGTTAGTGAGTTACAAAGTAACACTAAAAATAGTATACCTTTAGCTTTATTTATAACAATCTTCTTTAATTATTTAGTTTTCCAATTCTTACCATATGATTTAGCAATTTTAAATAATTCAAATAACTTATTTAAATAATGTATTATATCATACTTCATTAAATGGTGCTTCACCTGAAAAAATATTTAATGGTAATAAAATATCAAGTTTAGCTAACGGTTCAGAGGGAAGCTCTGATTTATTCTTTGCTACAAGTAGTAGTTGAGATGGAAATTTAATCGAAACAAGTCATATATCTAGTATAGGAAATATATTATATACAAGTCATAGTATGTGATTAATATTAGCAAGTTTTATTCTATTATTAGCTATGATAGGAGCAATAGTAATTACAATAAAACAAAAAAACCAAAGGGATTAGCTCAATGGTAGAGCAACCGTTTTACACACGGTAGGTTAAGTGTTCGAGTCACTTATTCCTTAAAAAGAGTATAGTTTAATGGTAAAACAAGAAGCTTCAACCTTCGAATTCTTAGTTCGAGTCTGAGTACTCTTGTATATGTGTGAATTTCGCACAAAATTCTTTAACTTAACGGTAAAGTGCATTTTTGATAAGAATGAAATTCAAGTTCGATTCTTGGAAGAATTAAAAGGTAAACAAGTTAGTGTAGTAAAGCTACCGACTATATTAAAAAAGAGAATTGACTGAGTGGTTTAAAGTGCCGGCCTTGAGTACTGGTATGGGACTCTCCCATCATGGGTTCGAATCCCATATTCTCTGTTTTGTGATCTAGATTAACAGAAAGGTGAGTTTTCGTAACTACGAAACTGCTATAATGTAACCGTGCATGCACAAATTTACCTTTTACAGATTAGGGCCGGGTTGGTTAGGCGCTCCTTTTGGGAAGGAGAATAGTTGCGTTCGAACCGCAATAATCTGATATGGAATTAATAGAAATGTAATTGATATAGAACATATATTTATATGAAAATATATAAGTATACAAAGAAACTATTATGGAAATCTGGCTATGTATTAAAGGGTATGATTTATTTACTCAAATTAAGAATTTAGTCTAAAATCTAAATAATGATTTATATTAATTTAGTATAAATTATTATTAGAATCTAAAAACTTATTTTAAATATAAACCCTAAGAGAAGTTTTTTAATAAACGAAGTGAATTGAAACATCTTAGTAACTTCAGGAAAAGAAATCAAAAGAGATTCTACGATTAGCGTGAGCGAAAGTAGAGAAGCCTATATATTAATAAGTAAAATGGTTTAGAAACTGTTTGAATTTAATGGGGAACCTTCCTCAAAGGCTAAATATAATACATAAGCGATAGTGAATAGTATCATGAGAGAACGATTAGAATTAGTAGTTTTATAAGCAGTTCGAGCAAAATAAATAAGTGAGAACGTACCTTTTGCATAATGGGTCACCAAGTTAACATTAGATGCGAGTGAAAGCGTAGATAAACCAATCGTTAAAATAACGAATAGTGTCTAAAGTTAGACCCGAAGCCTGGTGATTTTACCACAATCAGGATTATAAAAGTCCGAACGGGTTATCGTTGTAAAGATATCCGAAGAATTGTGGTAGGTAGTGAAAGACAACACTGACTAGGATAGCTGGTTTTCTGCGAAACCTATAACAGTAGGCAATTTGAGTACATCTTAGCAGGTACAGAATTTAATCTCAGACAAGATGTTTTCATTTTAGTTCTTGAACTAAAACAACATGTTGATTTGTATATATCGGGGGATCGTGAAGATTTTATCGGTGAGTATGTAGACTCGGAATGGCAAAGATGGATCTTGAATTATCAGACATAGAATGATAAGGTTGTATGTCAAAAGGGAAACAGCCCAGAACAAGAGTTAAGGTTCCAAAATTATTAGTTAAGTGAAATTAAGAAGGTTTTTATTAAAGTCGACAAGGAGATGGGCTTAGAAGCAGCCAAATTTTGAAGACCTCGTAACAGAGCGCTTGTTAAGTTTTAAAAGCATCGAAAATTTAACGGATCTAAACAATATACCGACACCTTGTCCATATTTTACAATATCTATTATTGTAATTTTGTGGGGTAGCAGAACGTTGAATTAAATTAAGATATTTCTTCTGTGAAGAAATATATAACAAACAATTCAAGTGAGAATGGTGACATGAGTAACGAATAAGAAGGACACGAAGAGAAAGGGAACAAGGTAAAAACTTGTGATCGGCCTTTTCAAATCCTCCGCCTAAAGCTTATGGATGGGCAGATACCCTTAAAGTAACGGCCTCTAAGTTATAAATCTAAAGGTTTAAACGATGAGAAAATCTTTTTTACTAAATGACAACATTTACAAGTGATAAGTGTGCTGGAAAAAATAGTAATATATCTTATTGCAAAATAAGATGAAAAAATAACCGTACCTAGAAACTAAAACAAGTAAGCTAGTAGAGAATACGAAGGCGTAAATGAGCTAACAATCATAAAGGAACTCGGCAAACTAACTACCGTAACTTCGGGATAAGGAGAGCTCATTAGTCCTGATTAATATCGGGTAAAAAGGAAGAAGCATAAAATAGTGTTGTACGACTGTTTAATTAAAACACAGCACTTTGCTAAAAGATTAAAAATCGAAGTATTGAGTGTGATGTCTGCCCGATGCCGGCTGGTTAACGAATTTAACTAAATTGATCAAAAAATTTGGTGTTGAAGGAACCCCCGGTTAATGGCGGCCTTAACGTGAGGGTCCTAAGGTAGCGAAATGCCTTGGCCGTTAAATGCGGTCTTGCATGAATGATGTAACGATACAACAGCTGTCTCTATGATTGACTCAGTGAAATTGGAATAACTGTGCAGATACAGTTTACCTCTAGTTAGACGAGAAGACCCTATGCAGCTTTACTGTTACTAATTATAGGGTATGATGGATTAATTTTCAGATTATAAGGTACATTGGTTCAATAAAAATGAAAATCCTTTATTTTTACATCATACTTCAGAATTAATTCTTTTGATTCTCCCGGCGCAAGCTCGAGGAAAGAAAGGATTAACCTAGTCTGACTTAAAAGTAGCCTTAGGTAAGGAATATATTGTTAGGAGACAGTTTATGTGGGGCACAGGCCCCTTAAAGAGTAAAAGGGAGTGTCTAAAAATTATTTGTTATAAAATTTATAACGTTGTTTGTGATTTTATGTAGTTTTACTATATTTAATCTTATAAAATTATCTTTATCTACCCTTGTTGTAGATACGGATGGATATTAGGTACGATTTTCACTATAGTGAAAGTAGCGGTATAAAAAAATATTATGAAATTTTTCTAATATTTTTGGAGTTATTAAGAGTTCTCTTAATAATAATGATAAATACCTGAAAAGCTCAACGGCTTATTCGTGCCTTACTGTTTGATTAACAACAAATCTTACAGTTGCGTAAGCAGGGCATAGGATCACAAGATGCAAAAAGGAAAGATCTTGGATTATTGGAAAAGCTACGCTAGGGATGTTTGTCCTTCAATATTTTTAGGGCTTCTGGCCACAAAATTAAAATTATTGATAATATATTGGGTTAATTTCAAGAATTACTTATTTAAGTAGATTTGAAGCGAAATTTATCTTGGCATAATTATTTAAGATAAAATCGTTCAACGACTATAAGGTGAGTTATGCTAACAATAATCCTTTTTAACACCCAACATTTTTATTACCATACACTTATAAAAAAAGGATAAAAAGAAAATAAAATTTATTTTTATGAAAGCAAAAGCTCTAAATACAAACGCTAAAATTTTTCGTTCTAATTTAAACAATAAGTTTAAATTAATACCATTTAATTCTAGATTTAATGATACAGGTAGAGTTAAATATTTACCTCCTGTTTCTAAAGAATGAAAAAGCACTATTTATTCATATTATAAAAAAAATATGCAAAATATGCCTATAGATAATATAAATGCTAATAAAGTAATACAAAGTTACTTTAATTTACATTTTGCTAATAATAAATTTATAGGATCAAAATACATATCACCTAGAAAAAGAAGTTTATTATTAAAAAAAATCTATGTAAGTAAAATGGAAACAAAACATACAAATTCTAAAGCTATAATAACTTTATATACTATCAATGTAGGGAAAAATATTATATATAAACAATATAAAAAATTATCTCAATATTGAGAAGATAAAGTATTAAATTCATTTAAAGATGGATTAAAGAAAAAAATACAAGGTGTGAGCGCGAGCTCATCTTCACATCTAACTAATACAAATAACATTGCTTTAGTTAAAAACGAAGATCAAAAACAAATTCTTTTTTCTAAATATAAATTTTTAACAGAGTCTTTACAATGTTTTAATTTATATTTAAGATTATATTTAAGTAGACAATTTAAAAAATCTTATTTTGATAAAATAGATTTACTAAGAAAATACCAATTAAATTATTATTTAAATAAATACAAATTTGAAAGAAATATTTACTTATATAAATTAAGTAATATGTTGTCTAGAATATTTAATAAAACTATCGAATTTAATATAATAAATTTAAAATCTTTGGCTTTTAATCCAGAGATTTTTACTCAAGTTTTAAGTTTAAAATTGAGAAAACCTAAATCTCATGTTATAAGAGTAATGGACAGTTTATTAAAAGTAGCCAGATTACCTGAAGTTAATAGAATTCAGGAAAAAGCTAGTATTGTGAAATCTAAAGATTGATCTTTATTAGAAAATACTTATCCAAATTTAAGTTTAGTTTCTATATTAAATCAAAATATGGATAATTCTGGAAGTTCTTGCTCTTTAAATTCATTATTGGAAGAGAAATATTCTAATTTAGGAGATAATAATTCTAAATTACAACGTAGTAGATATCATAGCAATATTTCAAACATAATATTTAATTCTATTAAATATAAAAATTTAGGAGGTATAAGATTAGAAGTTAAAGGAAGATTAACAAAACGTAATAGAGCGGATAGATCTGTATTTAAATTTAAATGAAAAGGAGGATTAAAAAATATAGATTCTTCTTATAAAAAATTATCTACAGTTACTTACAGAGGTTATTATAAACCAAATGTAATCTATTCATTATCTACATCAAAACGTCGTGTAGGATCTTTCGCCGTAAAAGGTTGAGTAAGTGGTAAATAATTATATTTAGTAGCCTGATTTAGGTCAGGCTCAGAGTACTAAATAAGTTATGGTAAAAATAAAAATGAAGACATAGTCTGAACCATTTTGTGAAAAATGGAAATAAAATTTATTATGATAACATGTAGAACAGGCTAATTTGCGCAAGAGTGTACAAAATGAGTGCGCGGTTTGGCACCTCGATGTCGGCTTAACTTATCCTCATGGATGCAGAAACTATGTAGGGTACGACTGTTCGTCGATTAAAAAGTTACATGAGCTGGGTTAAATACGTCGTGAGACAGTATGGTTTCTATCTTCTAGAGGGAATTTGAATAAAATAAGGATTAACCTTTGTACGAAAGGAACAGGAAAAACTTAACCCAAAAGGTTAGGTTATATTAATTGTTAACCTCTGGTTTA